CTCCCACCTCATCGTAGTGATCTGGTGTGGTGGTCTCCCGGCCTGTCATGTTGGTGCCCTGGCTCAGTGTGGCAATCTCCTGGCATGACGTGATGGTCTCTTGGCAGCCTGGAAGTGTCTTGGTGGCATGAGACAGTCTTTCGGGGCATGGCTCACTGTGGACTTCCAGCCTTGAGTTGATTCCAGAACAACCTCCTCATCTTAAGAGCCTTGAGGTGAAGCCCAGTACGGTCTTGAGTCAGGGCCTGGCGTGGACTGGAGGCTTGGTGCCAATATCAGCTGGGTTAGAAGGACCGTTTCTCTGAGCTTTTTATTCCTCTAATTTCTAATTTATTCCTATGATCTGTAATGTTGGACATTGTATTTCTTTACTTTTCTATTTTTTTCCTAAGAACATGCACGAAAGAATCTGTATCTTGGTACCTTGTACCTAAAATGGTGCCATATTTGGCAACTTGTAAACTTTTCACCGTACTCAGTTGAGTACATAATTCAATTCAATTTTAGAATATCTGAAAATGAATGATGAGCCAATGGAAGAGATATTCAAAAGGGTGACCAAAGATTTGGTCATTGAACTGGGTTTTAAGGAATGATTAAAGGAGAACTTGAGGTGAAGGTATTAAGGAAAAGGGAGAAAATCTCTGAGCAAGATGTCTAGTCAGCTAAATGCACAACTGTCAGTGGTGAAGCGAATATACAAAGATTACTAAGGTGAAAGAAACAGAAAATTTGTCTTGAATTGAAAGACTGATCCAAATCCATTGACATTTTTTTTGTTTGCCACCATTCAGCCTATTCTCAATCCATTAGAAGATTCTATCTTGCAGAGAAGTACTTTGCGATGAACCATATTGAAAGCTCTGAAAATCCAGCTAAACAATTTTTAATTTTCTCCTCCGAAATTGTAAAAGTTCATCAGTTTCGCATTCAATTTCTACTTTCACCCTCACTTTCACATGGCCTATCTCTGACTCCTCCCTTCCCTTCCTCAACATCTCTGTTTCCATTTCTGGAGATTGGCCGCTAATATCCACTATAAACCCACTGGCTGCCAGAGGTACCAGGACTATACATCCTCACACTCTGCTTTCTGTAAAGAATCCATCCCATTCTCTCAGTTCCTCTGTCTCTGTCACATATGTTCAGATGAGGCCAACTTTGACAAGGGAGTCTCTAAAACGTCCAACTTCTTCCTCAGCCGAGGATTTCCCAGCACTGTTGTCAACAGGGCCCTTGAAATGGGTCAGACCCATCTCCTGCACTTCTGCTCTCACCCCCTCTCTTCCCTCCTCCTACAGCAATCTGGTTCCTCTTGTCCTTACCTACCATTCCACCTGCATCCACACCCAGAAGATCATCAGACATCATTTCCACCACCTCCAATGAGATGCTAGACACAGACACATATTCCCCACCCCTCCCTTGTCCGCCTTCCACAGAGACCATTCCCTCTGGAACACCGTAGTCCACACTTCCTTCACTCCGAACACCGCAACCAGCGAAGATGCAACACCTGCCCATTTACCTCCTCCCTCCCCAGAATCCAAGGACCCAAACATACCTTGCAGGTGAAGCAACACAAATGAACCATAGACTGGGTGATTGGTTCGCATAACATCTATGTTCTGCTCGTAAAAAACACCCTGAGCTTCCAGTTGCCTGCCACTTCAACACACCTCCCTGTTCCCTGGCCAACATCTCTGTCTCTGACTTGCTAGATTGTTCCAGCTAAGCTCAACGCAGGCTAGAAGAATAACACCTCACTTTCGGCTTGGGGACCCTGCAGCCCTCCGGACTCAATATTGAGTTCAATAATTTTAGGGCCTAAACTCTCCCATGTCCTAGACCCATACCCAACACACCAGGCCTTGTTGTCACATAGCCTGCCATTACACACTGCTTATTGTTAGTCATAAACAGTCTCCATTAACAGCTATTCACCCTCCTAACCAGATCATTATCAACTCCTTTGTCTGTCCAAATTTCTTTCTCTCTCTCTGGGCTCTATCCTATTGTTTACTCCCCACCCCACCCTCCTCTCTCTTTTCTCCATATAAACCGACATTTCCCAGCTACTATCAATTTTGAGGAAGGGTCACCGGACCCGAAATGTTAACTCTTGATTTTTTTTTTCACAGATGCTGCCAGACCTGCTGAGCTTTTCCAGCAACTTCTGTTTTTGTTCCTGATTTACAGCATCCACAGTTCTTTTGGTTTTTAAACAGTTTTCAGTGTCCACTAATAAGAAATGAAATTGCTGGAGAAACTCATCTGTGGACTCAAGTGCTGAAGAAGAATCGTATTGGACTTGAAATGTTAACTCTATTTCTGTTTGAACAGATGCTGCCAGACTGTGAGTTCCACCATTTCTCAGCTGCTTTCAGTTCTGGATGAAGAGTCACTGGACTTAAGACCATAAGACATAGGAGCAGAAATTAGGTCATTTGGCCCATCGAGTCTGCTCCGCCATTCAATCATGGCTGATAAGTTCCTCAATCCCATTCTCCTGCTTTCTCCCCGTAACCCTTGATCCCCTTAATAATCAAGAACCTGTCTATCTCAGTCTTAAATGTACTCAATGACCTGGCCTCCACAGCCTTCTGTGGCAGTGAATTCCATCGATTCACCACTCTCTGGCTGAAGAAGTTTCTCCTTATCTCCGTTCTAAAACGTCTTCCCTTTACTTTAAGGCTGTGGCCTCATGTCCTAGACACTCCTACCAATGGAAACATCTTCCCAACATCCACTCTGTCCAGGCTATTCAGTATTCTGTAAGTTTCAATTAGATTCCCCCCTCATCCTTCTAAACTCCAATGAGTATAGTCCCAGAGTCCTCAAACGTTCCTCATATGTTAAGCTTTCCATTCCTGGGACTATTCTCGTGAACCTCCTCTGAACCCGATCCAGGGCCAGTACATCCTTCCTGAGATATGGGGCCCAAAACTGCACACAATACTCCAAATGTGGCCTGACCAGAGCCTTATGAAGCCCCAGTAGTACATCCCTGCTTTTATATTCAAGTCGTCTCAAAATAAATGCCAACGTTGCATTTGCCTTCCTAACTACTGACTCAACCTGCAAGTTTACCTTGAGAGAATCCTGGACAAGAACTCCCAAGTCTCTTTGCACTTCAGACTTCTGAATTTTCTCTCCATTTAGAAAATAGTCCATGCTTTTATTCTTCTTACCAAAGTGCATGACCTCACACTTTCCCACGTTGTACGCCATCTGCCACTTCTTTGCCCACTCTCCTAACCCGTCCAAATCCTGCAGCCTCCCCACCTCCTCAATACTACCTGTCCCTCTATCTATCTTTGTATTGTCTGCAAACTTAGCCAGAATGCCCACAGTTCCTTCATCCAGACCATTAATATATAAAGTGAAAAGTTGTGGTCCCAACACTGACCCTTGTGGAACACCACTTGTCACCAGCTGCCATCCTGAGAAAGACCCTTTTATCCCCACTCTCTGCTTTCTGCCAGACAGCCAATCTTCTATCCATGCTAGCACCTTGCCTCTAACACCATGGGCCCTTATCTTACTCAGCAGCCTCCTGTGTGGCACCTTGTCAAAGGCCTTCTTGAAGTCCAGGTAGATAACATCCATTGGCTCTCCTTGGTCGACGCTGCTTGTTACTTCCTCAAAGAATTCTAGCAGATTTGTCAGGCATGACCTCCCCTTGATGAAACCATGCTGACTTTGCCCTACATTACCATACACTTCCAAATATTCAGAAATCGCATCCTTTACAATGGACAGTAAAATCTTACCCATGACTGAGGTTAGGCTAATCGGCCTGTAATTTTCCATCTTTTGCCTTACTCCCGTTTTAAACAGGGGTGTCACGTTAGCGATTTTCCAGTCCTCTGGGACCCTCCCTGACTCTAGTGATGTCTGAAAGATCACCATTAACACTTCCACTATCTCTTCAGCTATCTCCTTTAGAACTCTGGGGTGTAGTCCATCTGGTCCAGGTTATTTATCCACCTTCAGGCCAATCAGATTTACTAGCACTTTTCCCTTGGTGATGGCCACCATAGTCAGCTCTGCACCCTGACTCTCTTGAATTTTTGGGAGATTACTCATGTTTTCCATCATGAAGACTGACACGAAGTAATTATTCAGTTCCTAAGCCATTTTCTTCTTCCCCCAACCTATCTCTCCACTGTCATTTTCCAGTGGTCCAATGTCCACTTTTGCCTCTCTTTTGCCCTTTATATATCTAAAGAAACTGTTACAGTCTTCATTTATATTACTGGCTAGCTTACCCTCATATTTAATCTTCTCCCTCCTTATTTCTTTTTTTGTTGCCTTCTGTTGGTCTTTGTAAGCTTCCCAGTCCTCTGGTTTCCCACTGCCCTTCGCCACATTATATGCCTTCTCTTTTGCTTTTGTGCTATCCCTGACTTCCTTAGTCAGCCATGGTTGCCTCGTCCTCCCTGTACCATGCTTCTTTTTTCTAGGGATGAATTTTTACTGTGTCTCCTGAATTACTCCCAGAAACTCCTGCCATTGCTGTTCCACTGTCTTTCCTGCTAGGCTCCTCTTCCAGTCAATTCTGCCCAGCTCCTCCCTCATATCTCTGTAGTCACCTTTATTCAGCTGTAATACCATTACCTCTGATTCTGTCTTCTCCCTCTCAAATTGCAGAGTAAATTCTATCATCTTATGATCACTGCCTCCTAAGGGGTCCTTTACCTTAGGCTCCCTTATCAAGACTTGATAGGTTAACATGGCTGACGTTTCGGGCCTAGACCCTTCATCAGAAAAGCGGTTTAGGCCCGAAACGTCAGCCTCTCTGCTCCTATGATGCTGCTTGGCCTGCTGTGTTCATCCAGCCCTGCACCTTGTTGTCTCGGATTCACCAGCATCTGCAGTTCCTACTATCTTTGATAGGTTAACATCTGTTCTTCTGTCCACAGATCCTGCCAAACCTGCTGAGTTTCTCCAGTACTTTTTGTTTTTATTTACTCCAGAAGATTCTGTTTTTATTTCAGATCTCCAGCATCTGCACTATTTTGCCATCATTTTGATGTCCACTAATCTGGTGAGTTCTTCAAATGAATCAAAGCAAATTTGTAAGAATTGACTTTCTTTATGGAAAACATGCTGGGAGTTCTCAGTAAGGCCCTGTCTACCGAAATAGCCATACAGGATGTCTCTAATGATACCTTCAAGCATTTAACCTATCAGCTAATGAGCCTGCAATTATCCAGTTCTGCTTGTTGGCATCCTTTCAGTTTAAATAGCTGCAATAAATCACTGGAATATTTTATGTGAGAACTGCTCAGTAGGTTGATTCACTTGTATAACAATGGGGAATAGATAATACGCTGATGTTGAGGCTCATGATTAGATTGTCATAGCTAGCAGTGAAAAACAAAGATTTTGCTTGGATCACATGAGATTGGTGAAAAAGTAACAGATCTTTAACGGGCTCAGTCTTCGAAATAGTACCATAATCATCTGTCAAAGTCTACTACTTCACTTGCTTCCTGCAGCATCAGCTGTGTCACCATCAGACTTCCTGGTATCCTTCAGAACATCTACAACTAGCTCTTCAGAAATCGGGAGGGGGAAAGGAGCTGGGAAATAAATAGAGGAGGGGTGGGGCTGGGGAAAGGTAAGTGGGATGGTGATAGGTGAATCCAGGTAGGAAGTGGTGGGGTTTTGTCAGTGTGATGGGTAGGGTGGATAGGTGGGAGAGAAGATGGACAGGTTGTGGTATCATTGTGACACTGGAGGATGCCCAGGATGGACATGTCACCCAGGGAGTGGGAGGGAGAGTTAAAATGCTTGGCGACCGAAAGGTGTTGTTTGTCATGAGCAGAGCACAGATGCTCCATGAAACGGTCCCCGAGTCTGCATTTGGCCTTCCCGATGTAGAGGAGGCCACATTGGGAGTAACAGATACAGTAGACCAAGTTGGAGGAGGTATAGGTGAACCCCTGTCAGATACGAAAGGTTGGCTTTGGGCCTTGGATGGAGGTGAGGGGGGAGGTGTAAGGAGCAGGTGTAGCAGTCCCTGTTGTTGCTGGGAAAGATGCCTGGTGTGGTGGGCTTCATGGGGAGTGTGGAGCAGACGAGGGAGTTGCGGAGTGAGTGGTCTCTATGACAGCCAGATTGGTGTAGGGAAGGAAATATATCTTTGGTCGTGGGCTCAGGTTGTAGGTGGTGGAAGTGGCGAAGGATGATATGCTGGGCGTGGAGGTTGGTGTGGTGGTATGTGAGGACCAGGGGGATTCTGTCTTTATTTTTGTTGGGGGAGGTGGTTTGAGGGCAGAAGTGTGGGAAAAGCAAGAGATGCAGTTGAGGGCATTTGAAATCTCCAGAGGTAGGATTTTGCAGTCCTTGAAATAGGAGGACATCTGGGATGTCTGTAAGTGGAATGCTCCATCTTGGGAGCAGATGCAGCAGAGGCGGAGGAATTGGGAGTAAGAGATCGCATTCTTGCAGGAGGGTGGGTGAAAGGAGGTGTAATCAGATAGCTATGGCAGTTTGTCGGCTTGAAAGAGATGTCGATGTTGAGGCAGTTACCAGAGATGGAGACGGAGAGGCCCAGGAAGGGGAGGGAGGTATTGGAGGTGGTCCTGGTGAATTTGAGGTCAGGGTGAATGGTGTTAGTAAAGTTGATGAACTGTTCAAGCTCCTTGTGGGAGCATGAGGCAGCGCTGATACAGTCACCAATGTAGTGGAGGAAGAGGTGGGGGATGGTGCCAGTGTAACAGCAGAAAAGGGACTATTCCATGTATCCTATGAAGAGGCAGGCATAGCCTGGACCCATGCATGAGCCCATGGGCAACCCCTTAGTTTGTAGGAAGTGGGAGGAGTTAAAGGAGAAGTTGTTCAGGGTAAGGACAAGTTCTGTTAAGCAGATGATAGTGTTGGTGGAGGGGTCTGGTTGAGCCTTTGGGAGAGGAAGAAGCAAAAGGCTTTTAGGCCATCTGCGTATCAACCTCTGCCACCTACAATCCGCTCCTATGACCAAAGAGATTTCTCTCCCCACTCCTATCTGCCTTTCATAGGGACCGCTCACTCCATGACTCCCTCGTTCGCTCCACACTCCCCACTAACCACACCACACGCAGCACCTTTCCCTGCAACCACAGGAAGTGTGACACCTGCCCCTACACCTCCCCCCTCACCTCCATCCAAGGCTCAAAGAAAACCTTTCATATCTGACAGGGGTTCACCTGTACATCCTCCAACTTGGTCTACTGTATCCGTTGCTCCTGATGTGACCTCCTCTATATCAGTGAGACCAAGCGCAGACTCGGGACTGTTTCGTGGAGCATCTGCACTCTGTATGCGACAAACGAAAACACCGTCCGGTCACCAAGCATTTTAACACCCCCCTCCCACTCCCTGGGTGACATGTCCATCCTGGGCCTTCACCTTGTATTCCGCCTTGGGAGCCTACAGCCTGATGGTCTTAACATAGAATTCACCAGTTTTAAAATCTCCCCAACCCTAGCCTCCTCCCACATCCAAACATCCCTCTCAGCCTCGCCTCCTTGACCTGACACAACCTGTCCATCTTCTTCCCCATCTATCTGCCCTACCCTTCCCACTGACCAATCCCCAATACCCCCTACCTGCATCCAACCTATCACCACGCCACCTACCTTTCCCCAGACCCACCCATCCTCCCTCCCGCCTCCTTGACCCAACACGACCTGTCCATCTTCTCTCCCACCTATCCGTTCTATCCATCCGACTGACCGATCCCCACCACTCTCTACCTGCATTCATCTATTACCATCCCAACTACCTCTCCCCAGCCCAGCCCCACCCCTCCTCTCTCTATTTATTTCTGAACTCCCTTTCCCCTCCCCATTTCTGAAGAAAGGTCCCGACTCAAAACGTCAACTTTCCTGCTCTCCTGATGCTGCCTGGCCTGCTGTGTTCCTTCAACTTCATACTGTGTTGTCTCTGACTCCAGCATCTGTAGTTCTTGCTTCTACAACTAGTTCTTTTCCTTTTTGCAATGTTGTGAAATAATCACAATTAGCAAGATGGTGCAGGCTACTTTCTGCCATGCACCTATGCATTTCTGACACTGGAGTTTTCCTTTAACCATCCTAATATGTTGTTCAGTTTTTAGTTTTTTCTTTACATGTACCCTATTGCTGCACTTTTCTTTAACACTGTTAGACCTCTCAATACGGAATATGAGACTAGTGTGTTTCCCAAGTTCCTTAATCATCTTTGTTAAATATGTGGGGTAAGATAAAGATTATCTAGAAAGAGGGCATTAATTAGATGATTGCTTGACTATATATTAGACGGTAAAGGTAGTCGAGGTCTCGGTAATAGTGATCTTAAATAGCACTATAAAGATCTTTCAGATAATACTCAATAAATCATTAAGACTGCTATTCACTATCTCAATGAATTTGGGCATTAAACACACCTCCATCCTCATTTTCAAAGAAAACTATATGGAGTTTTGAAGGTTTTTTTTGTAAACTTTTACCAGAGAGTCTGTCATTTGCACAAGATTGTTACCCAATGGATATGGTGTATCGCCTGAACTACCAAGGATCAATACTCTTTGAATTGATGGTTGAGAACTTTTAAAAAAAATTGTAGAGAAACAATTATTGACATCAGTAGGGGCTGTAGATTTCAGAACTATATATTTGCAATTTTTCAATCTGTGGATAAATCGAAAACTGAGTAAGCTGACTTAGGTCTCCTTCTTTATCACCTGACTGTCAGAAATTTAATAATTCTTGCCCCTTCCCTTGCTGTTGAAAAGGACTAAACACTGGATTAATCAAATATAAAAGTCCAGCGATGACTCCTCACATATCCCAAATTCTTGTGTCTATAATCACAGCTGACTTTCCCAATTAAGGAACTTAAGATATTCATAAAATATACAGGGTGAAAATGTTCACATCTGAGGCATGTGATGACAGATGGGACAATAGTCCCAATTACTACAGTCGAGCTCAGATTCAATGATGTCACGGATCAGTTTATACAATTATTTTTCTCAGTATTGAACTTATAATACCTTGTTATAAAATTATGTATTTGGCCAATATTTGTGAACTTACGTTTAGATCGTAAAGGATGTCATATATCCCACATTACTGTAGTTGTGATTGTCATAAATGTTGTAATAGCTAAAAGTCAAGATTTTTGTCACAGGCTAGAAATGGGAAGAATCCTACTGAAGTTGATCCATGGGCTATCAATAGAAACAAATCTTGAAGTCTTTATTTAGCCTACAGAATTTCAAAGATGCATTTTAATTCTGCTAGTAACGTTTAAGTTTCAGCAGGGTTCCAGTGTGCTAAACCTTCTATATTTCTCTGCCCTAGGGTTTGCCTAATCATGCAAAGTGCCTTGGCCACAATGAGAATTGAACTCCATGATGTTGACGTTTACTTGATCTACACGCCAACTCTCTAGTCAACTGAGCTAACTGGCACCTCTCCAGTGTGCTAGGAAACACAGTAGTCATTATTTAGTGACAAGAAAGAACTTACTGTTGGACACGTATTTTGACTGTTGGGGTACATTAATATAGGTGGTCCAAGATAGTCTCTGTGCTAATGGATGCAAATCCTCACTGCAACATTTAATCGCATTTCAATAACATAGTCTTATGGCACATAATCAAAAACAATGGTCTGGGAAGTGCCTGCCATTTCTTGAGCCAATACCAACCCAAACTGTTTGGGGATTGCCATAATCTGTTCATCAATATTATGTATAGTCTTAAAACAAATATACATAAACAAATTGAACACTCTAACAGTACTACAAAATGAATATACACCAGGGAATCTATTGATGATGTTGTCAAGCTGCATATATTTCATTGTTTCACTGAGGAGCTTTTAATTAGCCATTTATTTCTGATTTAATTTATGAAAAAAATATAGATAGGAAATGTCTAGAGTGGCAGTATACATTCACAGCTTTCTTGTTTCCTTCTCCGTCATGGGTAAAATAATTATCAGTCTGAAAGCAGAACAGCCTGACTACCTGTCTGCCAATCTGAAAATTAATGGATGAGAGCACCCTGACTGTCACATGAGATTATCTGCCACTGTTTGGTGAGGTCTTACAATCCTCAACCGGACCACTAGATGGAGCTCCAATCTATGTCAATATATTTCATAGAATCAAAGAATCCCTGTAGTGTGGAAGCAGGCCATTTGGTCCATCGAGGCTGCATCGATCCTCTGAAGAGCATCCTACCCAGACCCAACTCCACCACCCAATCCCCATAACCCTGTATTTCCCATGGCCAATTCACCTAACCTGCACATCTTTGGACTGTGGAAGGAAACTGGAGCACCTGGAGGAAACCCACGCAGGAGAGAAATGTGCAAACTGCACACAGACAGTTGCCCAAGGCTGGAATCAAACTCAGGTCTCTGGCACTGTGAGGCAGCTGTGTTAACCACAGAGCCACCATGCCACCCACTGAATCCAATCATGAAATAACAACAGTCTGAAGTCAAAGAGTCCCCCACTCTCCCCTGCCCACCAAGTTAATGCCAATGGAATTGTATTAGTTACTCCTGTGGCTGCTATCAGTGAGAAATGGGACTTGTAAAATAAAAGTTTCTGATTATTCACAATACAAATTTTCAGGAAATGAAACAAATAATAAACATTAGCCAGCCGAGAATAAATATCTTTCAATGATTGCTCCTATTATTACAGATTTCTTCCTTTGGTTGCCTCCTGCATTTATTCTCTCATATTTTTCTGAACTTACCCAGAGAAACTTATGTCAGACTTTCCTTCAGGGTTGTTTATTCGACCTTCCTGAAAAGCCCAGTGAGGCACTTCATGATTTCTGTGAATCTAGTCTTCACATAGTTTAAGACAGTATTTTTGCCGTATGTTGTCAATACTAATCTGCAGTAATTAATCAAACAGCCAGTTAAAAGAACCTCTCAGTGCTTACTCTGTCAGACCCCTTCAGAACATTGTATATTTGAGTGAGATCACTCTTCTGAACACCTGTGATTATGGGCCTAATTTATTCTGTCTCACATTGTAGGATGATCCTCACATTCTAGGGCACAACCCAGTGAACACTTGGTGAGAATTTCCTGAACTGTATGATGCTGTTCAACACTCGTTAACTAAATCATTAGGGAGCCAACTATTGTTATTTACTTGTCACTGATACTTCACAGCTGTTAGTTCACAGTTAACTAATGACCACATTGTGGGAACATCAGCGTTATAACACCTTGCATTCGTATATTACCTTTATATATCTCTCTGAAACATAATGTGTTTCACATATGATGAAGTATTGAAAATTAAAGTGACTGTTCTACAGGCAAGTGCAACAGCCATCCTGTATATCATAGGAGCCTCCCATAGCAATGAGATCACACATCACTTGATGGTGTAAGTTAAGGATGAATGTTGACTGAGGAAACTATTCTTTTTTTAAGCAGTGAAAGATATTTTGGCAATCACTTGAACAAGCAGATTCAGTTTTTATCATCAAATATTAATGTTGGTTATAGAAGGAAGTCAGGATAAAGTTGTTGCAGCAACAATCAAGAAGAGCACAGTGAAAATTCAAAGGTATTTGGATAAGTACATGAAAAAGAAATGTTTGGAAGGATATGGGCCAGGCACAGGCAGGTGGGGCTAGTTTAGTTTGGGATTATGGCCAGCATGGACTGGTTGGGCTAAAAGGCCTGTTTCTGTGCTGTATGACTCTATGAGCGGGTAAAATGCTAAATCATAGAAGCAGACGGGCAGGAGGTTCTGTCCACCGCTGGATCTTCCAGGCTGCAGTCTCTTGTACATTTACAAGCCACCTATCAGCACTTAACTCTGTGCAACCCAGAACCTTCACTGCTCATCACTCCAATTCACCCCCCAGAGATCTTGAACCAGACAAAAAAAGGATGCCTCCCTAAAGCTTCTGAAGGCTGGCCAGGAAAGAAGGATAGTCTTTTTTCCCAAAAAAATTTAAATTGGGCCTAAGGGGCAACTTTTTCATGCAGAAGGTGGTGTGTGTGGAATGAGCTGCCAGAGGAAGTGGTGGAGGCTGGTACAATTGTAACATTTAAAAGGCATCTGGGTGGGTATATGATTAGAAAGGGTTTAGAGGGATATAGGCCAAATGCTGGAGAATGGGACTAGATTTAGTTCGGATATCTGGTTGGCATGGATGAGTTGGACTGAAGTTGTTTCCTTGCCGTATATCTCTATGACTCTAAGAGGCCATCTCACCTAAGAAAGGCAGTCTGCATACAGATGGTTGTGGAGATCAGTGCCAATGGCAGCACAAGAGAATTTGGCTCCAGTGCTGCAAAGTGATATGTTGCTGTCTGTAGGGATGAGCCACTGTCCACACAAAACCTCATGCTTGTATCAGTGTGAGTTAGCAGTGTCAAGTTGCCACTGTAGAGGACATTCACACATAAGATTAGATTTCAGACATTTCCATCGGATATCCTGTGTGAAATCAGTGTCAGTCACTTCATTGCAGCTGTAATGTAGCAAAATGGTACTGTGTCTCACACATCGGGCAGGCTTTTGACTTTAGGCATAAATAAAATGGAACAAGCAGCAACACCTGCACTGTCAGGTCACTGACCTTTCATCATAGCTGGTAAAATGTACGCGACTGATAGCTTTTTGCCAAAGGCTTGCATGGAATAAATACACAACCAGAAAAAAGAAAGACCTTTTCATATTGAATCCCCTTTTGAACTCAGCTCTGCTTGCCTGCCCTAGTCAGGTCTGCTATGTCACTGTCCCACTTGGCAAGTTAGTTGGCCTAGTCAGGCTTTACACTTAACACTGAAAGCTTTCAACAGTAAGAAACCATTGTAGACCACTGACATGTTTCCAGGGCTGATCAAAACGGAGAGAATTCATTCCCATCACTCTAAGCGTTTGTGCAGAGAAACAGCTTTTTTTGAACTAACCAAATTAGTGAAGACATTTGTAGTCACCAGAGTTTAGGCAAAAATGTATATGCTGCTAGTCCCATGCCTAATATATATAGTTGGGTTTGTGAATGGACAACATTCCCATTTTTACCTCACACGATTACGTAATTCCAGTGAATGTAATTCCAGTGAACTATGAATGTATTAATTATTCAGTCATGAGATGTGGGTGTCACTGGTTGGGCCAACATTTATTGTCCATCACTAGTTGCCCTTGAGAAAGTCATAGTGAGCTGCCTTCATGAACCACTGCAGTCCATTCGGTGAAGGTACGCCCATAAGGCTGTTAGGGAGGAGTTCCAAGATTTTGACCCAGCAACACTGAATGTATGGTGATATATTTCCAAGTCAGGATGATAAGTGACTTGGAAGAGAACTTGCAGGTGATGGTATACCATGTAACTGCTGCTTTTGTCCATCTGGATGGAACTGGCCATGGATCTGGAAGGAGGTATTGAAGGAATCTTGATTAGTTTCTGTATTACAAGTTACAGATGAGTGTTGTTGGAGCTGTACTCATCCAGTCATGTGGGAAGCATTTCATTATACTTCTGACTTCTGCCTTGTAGGTGCTGTACAGGTTTTGGGGAGTCAGGGGATGAGTTACTCGCTGCAGAATTGCTTGTCTCTGACCATTGTCAGGTCAATGTCAGCATTGTGACTGTGCTAGAACAGGTTGACCAAGGGTGCTGCAAGTTCTGGAGCACAAGTCACATGACTATTGCCAGATTTGTCATGGCTCAGAGCCTTTGCAGTATTCAGCATCTCTGGCTTTTCTTGATATCATGTGGAGTGAATCAAACTAGCTGAAGGCATGTTTCTGCGATGCTGGTAATCTCTGGAGAAGGCTATGAGTTATCCATTTGGCACTTTTTGCTGAAGTCTGTTGCAAGTGCTTCAGCCTTTTTTGTACATTCGTGTGCTGGGCTCTCCCATTATTGAAGATGGGGATATTTATGGGGTCTCTTCGTCCAGTGAGCTGTTACTTGTCCACCATCAGAATGGCTTCCACCAATTGCAGAGAGGAAACAAGACATGCTCGAAAGATTCTGGGAACTCAATAGCAAATGTTTAACCAATTCTCTGGAAACAGAAGTTTTCCTCACACTCAATTAAGTTCGCTGCCTGCCCAGAGAGCTCTGGCCAGGCCCAGAAAATTCTGCCCTATGTGTCCATCACTGGGAATGATTGATATTGATACAGTTTGCTCGAGTTATTTTAATATTACCTTTTTCACATTATTGTTCATGAATCCAGCAAAAACAAAATCTTTTCGGAATGTTAAGCTTTTTTTTGCCAAGTTGAATGCTTGTCATATTGTTTTGATTCATTACCTCATTGTTTGCTCTGTTGGCCAAATTCAAAACATAGCTCATATCTTGGGATTTTAAATGGTAGCAACCTTCATTGGTTTACCAATACACTAGTCCTTAGCTTTGGTATTTTGGCCCTCAAAATTTAACAACTCAAGTCAAGCGAAGAATTTACCCTTATTTCATAACATCTTTGTCAGGTAGTGTCAGCAACATTAGCTACGTATAATTTACTATACATTTTGAGTGTAAACTATACATTAGTTCTTCCTAAATTATGAATGAACATACAAACAAGGCAAGACACTCTGGTCCATCCAGCCTTTTCTATACTATTTTGGATACTGTTTGTATCCTCATGTTTACTCTTCACCCCAGCCCACCCGAAACCATGCTATCTCTTGGGAGATGCAACAATTGGTGAGAATGCAGTTACAAACTTATTGTCGCTTCCTTCACTACTAGAAATCAGTTGCAGACTCCTACATACGAAAATATGTTCATTTTTGAGCTACAAGGGATCAGCTCTCTCCTTACCACCTGAAATGCTGGTCTCTAACTTCATTAATGATCTTGAAGCCCTCACCAACCAATGCCAATACAAATATACAAGAAAGAAGAGAATAGAATGATACAGAGGTAAGGTGGAATGGGATAATTAGATTGGGAAGACACTGGTATGTAAAGTGTTAATGTTGACATTGACCAATGGATTGAATGGTACATTTCTCTCTGGTAGATTCTTTGCAATTCTATGGTTATCTATAAAGAGACATAGTTGGGTGAAATTGTCAAACTGAGTGAATTCTAGAATTCACAAATTAAACTAAAATGGATCAATTTGCATTTAGATTTAATTAATGTATAGTTCTAACAGAGTATAGCATTACAGATTCCTTGAAATGCAAATTAGGGAAATGGTAACAACGTTCAGATATCAAGGCAGCAGCAAAATATGAGCATATTTGAACTGAATGTATGTGAACTTTAATATGTTTCTTACTATTAAACAACTTCTCAGTAGAAAGAGGTTACTTGCCTTATAGGATTGTCTTCATTCTTTGAATAATATGCACCCTCAACACACAGCAGGAGCAGATTCTAGACAACAAGGTGCAGGGCTGGATGATCTACTTTCTTTTGATTTGGGGAAGCTATGTGCATACTTATGCTATGGATAACAGCAGTTGTAGGTTCTCCCAAAATAAATGATGCTCAGGCTAAAGTTTACTGAACAAAATTGGCTCCTTTGCCAGCAAGGTTACTACTGTAGCTGAAAACAAACTGAATAAACATGGAGCCAGTGTGGCTAGTTTGTTGCTGTGAAATTTCTTTGAATAATTAAAATTATTGAAACATTATTTTAATGTCTAAAAAGCATTGTAGCTTCCAGTAGAGTTGCCTATGTATGTGTTCTTGCCAAATGAGTCTTTACTTTCAGGATTTTTGCCTTGTTACAATAGTGCTGCCAGCAATTTCTGTATGATCATATGCCAGATAAATGTGAAATGGATTATATCAGTAATAAGTTCTGAGATGGAGCATCATTGAGAGAAGAATATAAGGTTAATGATCTTGGCAACATCAGAGTACCAAATTGCACTAGTTGAAAATTGCATAGGCAATAGCGGAATTTCCTAAATGCAAAAATATGTAAATGTAATGAATAATGCACATTTACAGGTTAAAACAAAATCACTGTCTCATATTTCAAAAGTACTTTACGCATCAATAATTTAATGCTGATTTTTCCTGACCAGGAGCCAGAAGATTTTAAGCATCTAACAATCTATAAATGCCCCTCCACCAAACTTCAGAAAAAATTTCATTGATCTCCACATCTCCTATTTTATGCTGTTAGATGTCATCTGTTAAACAGATATGTGCAGTCAGCTATCACTGTGTCTGAGCAGAATTATACATATTGTAATACTCATTATTATGAAATGGTTATTCATCTCAACATGAGCAAAGTTTGGAAGGAATTTAAAAAGTTGTCAGACAGCAAATACAAAATACAAAAAGCAAATATGAATATGATGACACATCTAT